CTCTCTCTCTCTCTCTCTCTCTCTCTCTCTCTCTTCTCTTACTCTACCAAAAATGTCTGGCTTGAATCTTAAAACTCAAGAGCTCTGAAGTGATTAGTGCATTTTTTCTTCATTTCTCAAGCACTTATTTCATTTATTTTGTACAGTAAGCATGTAATATACTGCAAGAAAAAAGTAACAAAGATATCTCATCTTCAAACAACAAAAACAAGGCATTCCTACTTGGAACCAAGGAGGCCACTCCAAACCAGTGGTCCCTACTTATAGAGTAGAGGTTCTTGGAGGTGCTCACAAAGTCCCCATGTCTGATAAAAAATGTCCCTCGTGGTGATCAGACAGGATCCAACTTTCAGTTTCAGTTTGAGGACCCAGAGGGATGGGGTTAGTGGTGACCATTGGACATAGGGAATGACTCATTGCATATAGTGTTCAAGGTCTCTGCCTTGGTGAGCCAAGCCCCTGAGGTCTGGAGAGGGAGTGCAGAAAGGAAGGGTAGAGGCTGGAGAAGAACTCTGCCAGCTGTCTATAGCTTTAATCTTGTCAGAGAACAAGGAGGATTCTTTTCATCTTTTTAATGATTTTTTTTTGAGCCATGAAAAAAGTTATTACCATTTACAGATGGAGACACCAAAATTGTTGAAAATGTGATTACAAATTTCAAAGCAAAACCCTCTGATAGTGATGTTTTCTACCCCTGTCCTAAGGGACAGAGCCATTAGATGTCTGTTAGTATGTTACATCAGTGTAGGTAAATTATAGTGACCACATCAGGTTTCCAGACAGCAGACCCGCTTCCAGTAATCTGCCTGTCTCCCACCCCAGTAATGAAGCAGACTTCACCTGTTCTGGAAAATTCCAGGCCTCACTCAGGAGGCCATGTGACCAACCAAAGATTCAGTGGTTAATTAGAGAGAAAGACCTTCTCAAGAAAAAAGAGAAAATCTTTTTTTAACCAAAAGTTGGTTGTTGTTGTTTGCCAAAAGTTTTCATTTGTTTTGTTTTTTTACACAACAAACTCCCACCCTTGTTTGTTATGACCACAGCTGCCTGTGAGTCAGGAGTTGCCGTAAACTCAAGGGTGTTGTAAAAAACTCAAAATGCTTGTTTGGTTTCAGTCTGTGTGTATAGACATGTGTTTCATTTATGAATCTGTGCACCCATCCATCTCACTTTGCAAGGAGTAAACAAATCATACATGGTTTTGCCTGGGGTGGTGAGTGTAGGTTTGAATCAGAAATCTTTGCCTTGGAGTCCCAGCTCTGCCTTCAGACGCCCTGTTTGCCTGGGGCAGTTTGTATACCATCTGTAAACATTGGTCTCCTCTCACAAAAAAATGAGAACAGGCTCCTTCATGGACTCAGAGGAAGGAGTGAAGACACTGCTAAGCATCTTGTCCTGAACCTTCCCCATAGTAGTGGTCAAAAAGCAGTTAATGCAATTTTATGAACTCTTTATGACTGGCTTTTCTCCTCATACGTGGACCTAGAGGGCCCAGGTGGGACATTCCCTCAGCTCTGTCACTGTACTGGCTAGGGGTACATTGAAAAACTGCCTGTTTATTAAAGGACTGGTTGATTAGGTGACTGAGGAGCCTGATGCACTCAGGGGCCCTGGAACACAAACTCTTCACTGCTAAAGGCCTGGGGCTGAGGAGATAAAGGAAGCAGGAGTTTTTCATTAGTTCTATCAAGACTCAGTGGAAGAGACACAAAGCCTTTCTCACTCAGGGGCTGGGGCAGCAGGAAAACTGTCCTTGAGTGAACAGGGAGGGGGCACTGAGTCTGCTACATGCCTCTGTGGACAGCAGAGCATGCAGACCATTTTTTAAAAAAAAACAGGAAAGGAAAATCTCATGCTATCTAAGAACAATGGGAAGTGGATATAAGAAAGACAGAGTTGCAGGGCTGGAGAGATGGCTCAAGGGTTAAGATCACTGACTGCTCTTGCAGAGGACCCAGGTTCAATTCCCAGCACCCACATGACAGCTACAAACCGCCCTTTACTCCAGTTCCGAAGCCCTCTTCTGACCTCCAGGGCATTGCACGACACAGGTGCACTCACTACATGCAGGCAATACGCACATACGCATAAAGATTAAAAAAAAGAAAAAGAGTTGGAAAAGTCCGAGTTCAAATCCTGACTCTGCCACTTTTCAGATGAGCAACTTTGGAGGCCTCAGTTTCCCAGCCTGCAAAATGGAACCCACAGAAGTTCTCCAGCTGGGCGTGACTGTGAAGATGGAAGGTGGTAAGGTATCCCATGCAGTGTCTGGGACAGAGGAACCAGTAAAGGTGCCACCAGCATCATTAAGTGCTGCATAGTTGTCTTTACTCATGTCCGACCCTGCTGCTCTGCTGTGGAAACACATTCCCTTTTTTAGGCAAGAATAACCGCCAACCCCAAGCAATGCTCCATGAAAGCACATCCTCTCCTATTTGTCCCTACTGGGTATGGTGGGCAGGGCTTGCACTAAGGAAGTACCTTGAGAGTGAAGGCCACGTTCCATCACTCCATGCTTGACCTTCATGTGGCGGGTCAGGTTCCCCTTCAGGGTGAACTTGCTCGGGCAGTAGAGGCACTTGAAGGGCTTGCTGTCTGAGTGCAGGTGCATGTGGCCCATGAGATTGTGCATCCGGTTGAATTCCTTCCCACAAAGCTGTTGGAGATAGAGACCAGGACACAATGACCTTGTTAGGGAAAATCTGCATTCTAGCTGTGGGGAACTAGAGGGCGGTGGCTACACTTCGTGGCACTTTAAATTACCTCCAAGGAAAATTATTCCCCTGGAAATTAGGGAGGGGTCGGGTCATACCCAGGCTCTGAGTTGGAACAGGTGAGATGGATTTGTGAGACACAGATGTCTAGGATCTTTAAATTCAAATTACAAAGCTTCTAAATTAAAGAGTGCTTTGTTTTGTTCTGTTTTGTAGCAGGGTTTTATGCAGCCCAAGCAGGCCTCACACTCACTATGTAACTAATTAAAATAAACAGAAATCTAAGAAAGGAGTCTTTTCTCTGGGTAGAGATCTGAAGGAGTAAGAATATCAGAGGCATACAAAAAGTAAACATTTAAAAATATTTTATGCATATCTTTGTGTACGTATGTGCATCACATGCATGCAGATGATCAGGTAGTTGTGAGCCACCCAATGTGCGTGCTGGGAACTGAACCCTGGTCCTCTGAAGGAGTAGCAAGCACACCTAACCACTGAACTGTCTCCCTAGTCCCAGCCAACATGTTTTACTAATTTCTTTTTCATCATTTCTCTCTAGTTCCATCAGAGTACCAATGCATGATGGATCACAGGAGTGGATCTCCCACTTCTCCATGGAAGAAAGTGTAGAACAGCTACTCTGCAGCACTTTCTCAAAGTCCCTATGCCTCCGGAGAGCAAAGTTTGGAAGTTCCAGCTTTTTTTTGGCTGTGCTATGAGGAAGACAAAGAAGGATTTTGGTTTGTTTTTAGACCAGCTTGTTAACGGCAGACCATTCTTTTCTGTCCCCAACCTCTGAAGGGTAGGGAAGTGGTGGCAGCAATTTGCAGTGAGAGTTGCCACAGGGAACCCTTGAGGTATGGCATCCCCTAGGCATAATGCAAACTAAGACTTGCATCGGCTTTCCTTTTTTGATGAGAGAGGTTTTCAAGGCCAATGTTGGGGATCCGAGACTGAATTTCTACTACTGAGGGTGCCCTTTTCTTCAGGGAGGGAAAGTAGAGTCAACCTTGGAAGGATGGGCAGACCTGACAAAGGAGGTTAGGTAAAAGAATGTTGGATGTCAGAGCAGCCAGCCTGGGGCTGCACAGCAGACCCAGATAATTCATATACAGATGCATTGTAAATAGTTGGCCCTGTACTTTTGAATGATTTATTATTTGAGGATTTTAAGTATTTTCCCAGATTCGCTTCCTTATCAGCAAGAATGAATTTGGTATCCTAGGTGGTGTTCCACATGTATTAAAAAATGGTGACCTAAGGCTTAAGGATACAACTCAGAAGCAGAATACTTACATAGCATGTGCAAAGTGCTGGGCTTTGTTCCCAACACTACGGGATGGGGAGAGCAACAACCAAAAATGACAACCAAAGAGGAGAAAGGGTAAAAAAATTGCTCCAACTCCAGCTTCCACCAGAGAAGCCGTATGTGGGATAGACACTTATTTTCTTTTATTCTCACTAGAGAGAATTTATTAAGACACCAATCTCAGACTTGCACATGTATAAAATATATTTATTCACTTAGTTTATCCACTTCTCTATTATGACTAAAGAAAAAGCTTCAAATCTAAAGATTCTGCATTAGGTATTTCCTGTTGTGGGCCAACTTTAGAAAAAAAGTATACCTCAGATGCTTTGTAGAATGATTCCTGGGTATTTGAAGGTATGTTCCTACTACAGTTGCTTGGACCAATACTTAGTATTGAAGATGTGTTTCCCACCTGACTGCTGCATCCATGAAAGCTTGGCCTGCCTTTTGATTATAACCCTTCCCCTGTGCCTGCTTGATACATGACAGTCCTCAGTAAGAAGATGGGGCACATTTCAGTAGGATAACTTATAGAATAAAAAGCCCTAAATGAGGAAACAAAGTATGTACAGAGAGAGAAAAACTGAAGGCTGGCTACTGGGCAAGTCCAGGCATAGTTGGGGTCTTTTCTAGTTTGTCTCTCCATTGCTGTGACAAAATACTCTGACCAATACCAACTTAGGGAGGAAAGGGTTTATTCAGCTTACATCTCCTGGGTCATAGTTCATCAGGGAGCCCAAGATAGGAACTCAGAATAGGATACTGGAGGCAGAGGCTGGAGAATTGGCCATAGAGGAATGCTGCTTACTGGCTTGCTCCCCTGGCCCACGTTCAACCTGCTTTCTTATACAACATAGGTCCACCTGCCCAGGGGTGGCATCACCCACAGTGGGCTTGGCCCTCCCATATCACTCAACAATCAAGAAAATTCCCCCACAGACATAGTCATAGGCTGGTCCAATGGAGGCAATTCCCCAACTGAGGCTCCCTCAACACAGGTGTGTCAAGTTGACACTAAAGCTATCCGGCACAGGGTCATATGCTTGTCTCTATGCTAGACAGATCATTGAAAGGAAAGGATGAGAGCCTTCTGCATTGGCCTCTGTGATGGGAGATATTTCTCTTCTAGTTATTATGCATAAATGCTGAGATATTAGAAGCTGGACTGGCTTGAAAGTGTTTCATTAAAGAGATGAAGCAGATAGCTCAGTTGGTAAAGTGCTTGCTATGCAAGCATGAAAACCTAAGTTCAATTTCCAGTACCCACGTAAAAAGCAGAGTGTGGTGGTATTTGTTTTTAATTCCAGTGTTGGGGAGGTAGAGACAGGTAAATTCTTGGGGCTCACTGGCCAGCCAGCCTAGCCTAATTGATGGGCCTTAGGTCTCAATGAGAGACCCTGTCTGAAAAAACAAGTTGAATGGCTCCTGAGGAATGACACATGAGGTTGACTTCTGGCCTCCACATAAACCCCACACATACACCCCACACATACACACCACATAAAAGAGATGGTATTTTGGCTTTTCCTTGAAGAATGCATAACGTGTCCTTTGTTTTTGATTTGGCATAAGGATCAAGTATCTTTGTGGATATTTTTGGGCACTTCAGTCTACCTTATACATAACACAGGCAAGGAAACTATTACTCTTGTGATAAGGATCCACTGCTTGTGGCTCTCATACCTCCTGAGACTTGGGTCAGGAAAGATTCTGCAATTCATCTACCCCAAGGTCTCACCTATCAGCTTCCCAAGATCTCTACTTACCAATTTCCCTCCCCACAAATCCACACTCATAAGTGTATGCTTATTGTAATGGCTACCTCTGGGTGTCTCCCAGCTTCTTTCAGCGTCAGACAAGCTACTTTTGTGACCCTTTATGAATTTTATGACCCTAGTGAATTGCTCTCAAGTTTTTCTGGCTCAAGCCATTCAATATGAAACTTCTAGGGCTATTTAAGTGGTACACGGGGACATGATACCTTTAAAATGATATTTTCCCCTATAGTCAATACGCCGTGGCCTGAGAAGAAGTTCATTATGGGAGATGTCTGGTCAACTATAGTATGTCTGATTAGTAAAGGAGACTAGTTTTTGTGCTGTTGGTAAATTTAATTTTTATATACTAGAGTTAGAGTTACCCCATATGACTTGTGGTAGGCTACTGGGTGAGCCAATGGAGAGCCTCCCCACCAGAGATAAGTGGAGGTGTGTCAACTCTGAGAGGTGTCTGGATCCCCAAAGTACACAAGCAGCCTCCAATTCAAGGCCGCCCTCCCTTTCCTCTGTAACAAGCCTCAGTATCATGCACAGGACTATATACATATATGGTATACTCGATGAATACCCAAGCATTAGGATGGAAGAATACATAAACATGCCAGGAAAATATCACCCCATGCAAAATTCTAAAATCAGCCAGTAATAGCTCTCTTCATTTCCCCACTGCTCTGCACACACCAGTTTGAAACTAAAGTCCTCACTTGGAAGGATGGAGCCAATTGACACAGGACCTGAGGCATCTGGACCCCATTCATCTCAGTGGTAGCTACTCAGCTTCTTCCTCAGCCTCTGATGGCCACAGCCCTCTGGTCCTTATCCAGAACACTTGGCTTCTTCATCTTTAACAGAAGACTGTTGTCATGTGACAATGCACAAGTGTACAGAGTTTTTATGTCTCTGAAACACATAGAAACAGACCTCTCAGTGAAGAGGGGCCAAAGAAAAGAGGCTGGAGTCAGCTAATGATGGAGTCTGGGTGAAGTTTGGGATGTCAGCTCCAAGCAGAGTCCCTGCAGTTAGGGAGGGGAATTAAACTGAATGGAAGAAGGGCAGAGGGAGCACCAAATCTCTAGTTTCTTCTCAGGAAAAAATCAATCATTTAAGTTAAGGGCCCCTTTATTCATGAGCTGTAAATACAAGAGCTTTCTGAAGCCAGTACTAGATGAATTCTCTCCCATCAAGTTCTGCAAAGTTTAAAGATGTTGGTGGCAGCGCTGCTGAAGTGCCAGAGACACAACTTCTGTCTTTCCAACATCATCTCAGGCAGACTACCCTCTGCTTCCATACCCTTTTTAAAAACATTTTATTATTTTTATTTTATGTGTACGAGTATATTGTATTGCCTGCATGTATGTAAGTGTACCCGTGTTGTGCAGTGCCCATGGATGTCAGAAGGGGACATTGGATCCCCTGGAACTGGAGTTACAGACAGTTGTTAGCCATCATGTGGGTTCTGGGAACTAAACCCAGGTCCTCTGCAAGAGCAGCCAATGCTCTTAACCGCCGAGCCTTGCTATCTATAGATCCCTGCTTCCACACTCTTGAATGAGCACCATCAGTGTACCCTTGACATTAAATACAGCTTCTCCATCTACCCATATTTTAAGAGGGAAGAGAACCTCAAAATTTAATACAAACAGGAGACAAATATTTTCATCCATCCTTTAAAACTGGGTTACATGGATCATTAAGTTTTGAGAAGACAGAGAAGTGACTGAGAATACAGAAGGATGGGGAGTTTGTTTTCTCTTCTGCAAAATGTTGATAAGAAACAATTTCTTGAGAAGGTTGTTGAGGGGATCATATGAGATAATTGTGTAATGTGCTTGACAAACAATAAAAGCTTAAT